ACTTTCCTGATGAAAGATTTTGGAGTGGGCTAGTCAAAGTCAGATTTTAGTCTGATTGAGACGCTGTGACGTCCCCTCTTAGACAGGTCGGTCGTGCTAAAAAAATCTCAAAAAGCAGAAGAAATTCCTTCCTTTTTTATAGGATATAAAACTCCTAAAAATCTCAATCAGCAGGTCAGAGCTGCTGCTTTGGGCTGGCGATGCCTGATATGTACTTTCCTTTAAGGCCAACGCAGTGGCTGACTATTTGCTTACGGTTTCCACTTTTGAAGAAGTTCAGCCTGCATGAAGCCTCTGCTCTTCTAACTCCTGAAGGATTCACCAAAGTTCTTCGCTCCTCCATCTCCCTCTGCCCTCCAGAGGTCTTTGGCTCTTCCTTTGACGACAAAGCCCAGCTGCTGCTCCTTATCCTGGGGCATGCATCCTCTCTGCTGTGCATATATTCCCCCTGTCTTATGTCATATGCTGCCTTCACAGACAGATATTTTAATGCAACTTGACATCATCGTGGTAAAGGACAGACCGAAAGGGCAAAGAGTTGTATGTAATGGAAAATGTGGCTTTTTCATTTTCTGGAAAAAAAGCTGCTTCTCTTCTATGTCACTTAAATGTCTTGCAGTGCTGTCTGCAGATGTCCTCCGATTTGTGACAAATTCCTTCAGAGAAGTTATTTGTGATCTTTAATGCCCAATTCTCAGTAGTTTTATGCACCTTCTGGTGCTTGGTCCTGCCTCAGGTTGCACTTTTTTAATAACCTGCAGGAGCAAGAGTGGGAGGAAGAATAAAACTCAACCCAAAGGACAAAGTATGCAGTAGTTATAGTTGGCTTCGGTTTGTTGAAATCGGGAGCAGAAACATTGGAGCCTGCTTTGTGATGAGCCCTGTGCACTGGCGTGTGCCGTTGTTGCGTCACTGCCTAGAAGGGGGCAGAGACTGTATTTTTAGACGGGAATGAACATATTCTCTGAACGAACGTCAGTCACTCTGCTTGCGTATGCTTGGATTATTGTGACTGAGCTATTTTTAAGCTGCGTGTGTGTGAGTGCCTTTTTTTTTTTTTCCTTTTTTTTTTTTTTCTGGGTCAAGCGTGGTGCCAGTCCTCTCCGGAGGACGCTGGTGGATAGACCAGCGCACATCCAGTGCTGTGCACAGCATCGGTGTTGAACTCCAAAGTAAGAGAGGGCAAGCAAACAGGTTCACATCCGAAAGAGCAAACGCTGTTTGAAGACAACTTGGTGCATCTATATCCTGAGATGGTTTTAATCTGAACAGCATCAGTAAAAGACACTTAAAAAACTAGAAGTGTTTAAATACAGCTATAAAAAAAAAGCTAAAGGTTAAAGGTAGATTTTTTTTTGTCCATCCTGTTTCGTTGCTTCCTTTAGTTTACAAATGGAGCCCAGACTTGAATTATATAATAATAAAATGTATTTTATTGAGCCAGTAAGAAAATACTTCATATATTTATTAGTACATCAAATTGAATCTTGTTTAGTTGAAAATAAAAACAAAAAAGTACTTTATTTCATAAAGTGGCTGTTGTTCATATTATGGCTCTCTACCCAGAGCTCCATCCTGTTGTGAAGCTGCATTTGCCCTTCTACTATAATCTGTTTATTATTATTATTATTATTATTATTATTATTATTTTAAGGGATTCTTGCTGCACTCTTGTCTCACAGCAAATCTCTTGATCATTCAGCTGTGGGTTGTAACCTTTCTGTGGGTGGTTTGCATGTTCTCATGTCACATGTGAGGGTTTTTGTCCCAGGCACTCCTGTTTCCTCCAACAGTCACCATGCACTTCTTTATGGTTCTAAGTCACTCCCAGGTGTGTCTGTGTTTATCTGCTTGTTTGTCCTGGTGTGTCTCCGTTGTCTGTGATGTTACTGGTCGTCTGTCTCAGCTTTCCTCCACCCAATAATAAACAAATACATGTTTTATTAGAAAGTCATGGTTTTACGTTGGTTCTTTTGGATTTATTGTTTCTGTTCAGGTCTAACCAAAAGTGAGCCTTTAATGAAAAATGTAGCTTGGTGGAATGACTGAACTGCTTCAGTGTCTCTACAAATCCCTGGACTTTACTAGAACCCCAGATGTTTCCTGGTGGACAGATCGAGACCAGATTTGCCTTTACTCCTATTTTTATTCTTCCAAATTCCTAGCGTCACTTCCTTTCAGGCGGCTGCCTGTCTTTGACTAGAGCTGGGGTTTCCTGTGGTCAGGCTTCGACACGTTAGACGTTAGTAGCAGCATTTGGTTTGACATTTTCCACTGAGTGATGTGCAGATGTGTTCGCCTTGCTGGCGAAAGCAAAAATACTCAGCAACAAGAATTTGTTGAGACATTTTTAAGTTTTCAGGTGAAGGCTGAAGCGTTGACCTTCCTCTCCTAAGCTTGGTCCCCATTTCTGAAGACCTTTCTGGCTGTGAGGCCACCGGCTTTTCTTCAGGGCCTCTACAGCTAGCCTAGTTTTCTCCAAGTGTTTCCCAAGAGTGCAGTTATTTTCAGCAAAGCGTGGCGTTCTGCTCCGATTTTCCTGCAGCATTGTTCCTGCGTGTAAACCAAAGAGGTCTCCGCATGAAAAATGCATACAGTAGAACAAAATGTAAGTGCTCCTTCAACCAGATCGCTGTGGAGAAATCGGTCATGCTTTTGTTGCTGTGGTACATGAGCGAGCTTGTTAGCTAGATTTGTTTTCAGTGTGGCGTTGCAGGAGCTAACAGTCAATAGGAGGAGGAACAGGAATATTGGTTACACCAGGAGCTGCTCTTTGCTTCCTGGGTAAGTGACGCACTGGGAATATTAGTGTAATTAGAGTGATTACACCGAATGGCTAAGCTCCAGAGCTTTGTCCAGCTGCTGCCATAGGTCAGATATTAGTTAAGATCGTGGTTATGTAAGCCTGTGTTGTCAAATTTTCCCACCGAAATGTAAGCTGTGACATGATATTGACTTCAGCTTTCATTGTTCTGGTTCATTTTCTTTTATTATGTTCAGCTTGACCAATTCTCTCAGTTTCTGCTCTTTTGCTGGAGCTCTTCTGTTTAATACATTATGTACATCTTAATGAATTAGAATATAATTTATTTCAGTAATTAGTTTATAGAAGAGGTGTTATGTATTTGCCATGCACATAGTGTGATTTATAGCACAAAAGTGCAATTTGATGCTTTGAAATGGGCTTCTGTCTGTTTAAGAAGTTCCTATTCTTCCTAACGTTCCACCTTCAGTACATCATCACAACAATGCTCCTCCATTATGCCATTTACAACTGTTCTTAAGCGTGTTGGACTGAGAAATGTTTTGCATAATGAGGCCTAGAGATGTGCTGTTCCACCAGATGTTTGCTAGTTGCTGCTGCAGCTAGTCTGGTGGAGGTGAGCCTGGATACTGCAGCTCAAAAAAGACAATTTGTCATATCACCTCTGCTTTAAAAAAAAACACATAATTGCATATTAGAGGATTTGAACGGAGTGATATATTTAAAGCATTTTTTTTACATACTTTTGATGGTTTATACCTCTCAGCTGATGAAAAACCACAAATTCAGTTTCTCAGACAAGTTGATGTTTATATAAGATCAATAAAAAAATATTTTTTAATGCAATAATATAAAAAAATGTGAACCTTGAGCAGCTTGGATTCTGTCTGTCTCCACTCTTCCATCTGACTCTTGGGCAGTGATCTCCATATAAAAAGTCCAAAAGAGGACTGAGAAAAATACAAGTCCTCTTTCTCTTTAGTCCAGATGTTCCTGATGTCTCAGGTTCAGGACCGGTTTTTGTCTGAGGCATGCCACAGAGTGCCACGTCCTCTGCTGTGAGGCTCTCGACTCCAGCTGCACTCCTCACTCAACCAGCTTCTATAAAAGCGACTTTTTGAGGCTTCCCCTCCTTTTGAAGAGCGTTGGTGTGTCGTCTTGACACATGCCGACTCAGCAGTCCTCCTCTTGATCATACTATAACATGTCAGTGTTAAAAAACCCATTTTGATTACTTTCATGCTACATTCTGGTTTTTCGTGAGCTGAATTTTGGATTTCACTAGTTGTATTCGTCAAAAATAGATAGAAATACCTGCTTCCAATATTTCACTCCACACAATGAGTCCATGTACGAGTTTCGTTTTCTGAAGAAATTGCTGAAATAACTTTGTGATGAAATCCAAACTTTCTAAGTTGGAGAATATAAAAGGTGACTGTGGCCTGGCCTGTTTTTTCTGCCAGTAGCTTCACCTTTCTGAGCTAAAAAAAAATGTGTCCTTGTACTAGCTTTACTTATTTGGTCTGCACCGTTCCTTCCCCTGATGAGTATCGCTCTTTTTGCATCGACTCCTCTTCAGTTGACGTGTTACCTTGGCTGACATTTAGGAGGCTTCACTGAGATAAACTTATATGCGCCACGGCTCTGCACAGATATGGTCTTTATTTGTACAAACTTGGCTTAGGAGAGATGGTATTTCTGCACTGCTTAAAGCAGACTTCTGCAACTCACGCCACCCACACGCTGCACATGTACAGCGCACACCTACCTCTATCTGCCCAGTGGTTGGGAAAACAAAGCTTTGTGTAACTCGGATGGAGCTATTTGTGAAACCTTGGTTGTGCAAAGTTATGTAAAGTTCCTCACTAAGCTAATCCCTCGGTTGCTGAGTGAGGTCCCCCATGTGACGATGCCAGAGCGATGGGGTGGACTGGGCAGTGGCTGCTGTATAACAATGGGATTTTATCCAGGTAACGGTAGTTTTTTTAGAGATACGATGCCTCAGATGCTAGAGCTTCCCGTCGATGCGAAGGCTTGGACCAAACAGGCAGTAACCAGTAACCTCTCTCCTCTTTCTCACCTTGTGAGCTTTTGGAATGTTTTTTTTTCTTTCTTTCTTGTTTGCAGCTCTCTTTAATTTATTTCAAGTGACGAGAGGCGTGTTAAGATGCAGATTGATTTTGAAAAGTTTTTTTTTTAATTTATTTAGATTTAAGAAATGTTTGTGTTTTCCTTCTGTCTACAGGAACTATCCATGCAGACTTCAGCCGGTGATCTGACGAGTCACATATAGGAGCAACCGGAGCTTCTCCTCTTTCCTCTCCCCATCCCTTCCCTCACCCCTCCCTCCCCCTTTCCCCGTTTCCTCGTCACTCTTCTTCCTGATTTCCCCCCCCCCCCCCCCCCCCCATCTGCTCCAAGATTCACCATGCTCATTAAGGAGTATCGCATCCCCATGCCCCTGAGTGTGGAGGAGTACCGCATTGCCCAGCTCTACATGATCCAGGTGAGGTAACAGCGCAGCACATGGCCCACCTAATTTTCACCTACACACTCACACCAACCAAACCACCAGACGTGACAAAGTAGGAAAAAAAAAAAAAAGAAAGTGGTGAGCCAAACGAAGCAAATGAGGACAAGATAAACCAGCAGGGGGAATTTTTCAACAGCTCACACGATTACAGAATGATTGGTCACAAGTTGTGTGACGCAGAAAGAGTCACACAACAAAGAGTGCTTTTAGGCTGATAGATTATCCAATTGGACCTCCTAAGCTGGCTGGTTTTAATTGGCACAGACTGCATGTTTGTGCATGGGGGCGGCTGTTACCTACCAGACATGGCTGTGATTAGGACTGATGACATGGATGACCAGATTTTCAGTGTAAAGTTGCAGCGCTTTGCTAAATTATTCACACCACCTAAATTCTAAAATTAAAATTTTGTCAACCAAAGAAATCATTGAGATTTTAACTCCTAATTGAGCACTAAGTAGTGGTAGCATCTGTGTTCTGGAAGAAAGCTTGAAGATATTTTTCCTGCATATGCGTCTCTGTTTACCCCACTTCACTCTGATACCCCTAAGTAAAATCCATCGCAGCCCATTTGTCTTCAGTAGTCACGTACCTTAGTAAATGAGTTTGTAACTTAGTCTCAGCACAAACAATGCTCTTCCATGAAGACCTTAGAGTTCTTGTTAGAGAACAAACAGCATCATAAAGACCAGAGTGGACAGGTCAGGAGTAAAGTTATGTAGTTAGGTTATAAAACAATATTCCAAGCCTCTGAAGTGTGACAGATCCCTGATCCACCCATCATCCAAGAATGTAAATAGTTTGGCACAACTGGAAGATGAAAAAAAAAAAGAAAGAAGCAGTCAAGAAACTTTGGAGGAGCTGCAGAGATCCAAAGCTCAGTTGGAAAAATTTTGTGAATGAGGCAATGATGTAGCAAGAAGAAAGTCATTGTTAAAACCAGAGGAGCAGCCATGTATGACGGCTAAAAGCAATTATGTGGAAGAAGATCAAATGAGAACAAACTTGAACCTTTTGGCCTACATGCAAAATGCTGTATGGTGGCTCATGGTGGTGTGAGCGTCATGCTGTGGAGATGCAGAAAAGTTGGTCAGAGCTGACGGTTCGGTGGATGGAGCTAAATACAAATCAGTCCTAAAAGAAAACCTGCGAGTGGCTTAAAATGGTTTGAGACTGTAGTGAAGTTTTACCGGTGATGACCCTGAACTTACAACCAGAGCTGCAGTGGTACGGTTTAGATCAGGTGTTAGGATGGCCTAATCGAAGTCCAGACCTAAATTTTATGTTACATAAAACTCAAAGTAGTAATTGCAGGGAAAAGGTAGCTGTACAAACTATTGAGTAAAAGTGCAGAATAAAGATCTATTTCACAATATGGACTCCTCTTTCTTGTTGTATCACATAAAGTCCCAATAAAAGACACAGAAGTTTGGGGTTGTAAAATCGCAAAATGTGAAAAGGGAAAAAGGAAAATTACTGTGAAAAGCTTTAGTTATTCTGCTCAACAACTTGTTTTCCCTTCCTGTTCCTTGTGCAAATGAAGCTGTACTTATTTAACCTTGGGTTACTTAACAATCATGTTATTTGACCATGATTGTATCTTGGATTGTGGTTAAAAAAATGATGTTATTTACCTCTTGTTTAGAAACACTGAATGTCTGCATGTCGTTGAGTTTTTTTTTTTACAAGAGGCACAGCAGTCTTGACCTGGTTAGGTGATATTGTACATCGTATGATGCATGACAGATACAGTCATGTTTGATCAGGCGTTGACTGTCAGGAAACTCAACAACCAGGGAAACGTTTAATGAAAGAAAAAGTGCAGCAGCATCAAGTGAATCAACATGAACTTCCTCCTTTAGTCAACACAAAGCAACATTTAGACTCTCGCATGAGTTTACTTAAGTGTCTTTCCACTCCGACAAACACGAGAGGGAACATTTTATACGGGCTCAAACACTCAACGCTCGTTTCTTTAGTATTTTTTGTAAAAGCGAGAATGTAATTGTGGGCTATTAATCCTGTGAAACATTTTAGTTCTGATCCACTTTGTCCCCAGACGGGCCCTCTACGGGCAACCCGACACAAGCAGCGTGCGAACGGGTTTACGCCAAGTCTCTCTTTGGAAAAGCGACTCAGACTGCATCCGCCGGCAGCCTTACCTTGTTACATCGACGACCCATAGTTACCTTTTTCACTGACCTCACCATCTCTACACAGCTTCGTTGCTGTAAGGCTTCTGTCACCATGGCAACCGTGACATCAGCAGCATGCCGGTGGTCAGGTTTTGCTCACGAGAGAGTGAATGAAAAGAAGAAATGGTGGGTAAAAAAAAAAAAAGAAGGCTGCGAGGAAAGAACGGGAAGAAACGAAGAACGCTTGCCTGCCTCGCGCTGCTGTGGGTTACCAGGGCAGCAGCCACACGTAGGCCGGCCTGACGCCAATCCACTGTAGACCTCATGGATGAAGACGGGGCCTCAGGACATCTTAGCCATGTCTGCACCTCGCTCAGCACGCCCACTCCATCTCCACTTATTTCCGTTGCCCTTCTGCCACTTTCTAATTTGATAGCCGGCCGATCATTTCTTCATTGCTCTGCAGGGATTTGTAGTAATGAGCAGAGAAAATGCATCAAGACAGGATTAAATATTAGACCATTCTGCTGTGGCTCATCTGCTTGCGCTGAACGCTCAGGTTCCGACTTTGCGGCTTCTGTTTTGTCTTTGGAGCTCAGTGCATCTCTAACAGGAAACATGGCTCAGTGAGTCGACAGCGGTGAGAACGAACCAGGATGTGACTCCCATCCTGTCACTGCAGAGGTATCTAAACACGTATAGTGTGTTTTGGTGGCAATCGTATATATTCAGTCACTTTTTGAAAAAGAAATATCAAGACGTGTGATTGTGTGTCTGACAAAATGTGTCTTTTGACACAGAAACTTTAATTGTTGTTCCCTGGCTCGATGAAATAATAAGGTTTTCCTAGTCTTCTCTGTTCAGACTTGCATTGCACCATAGTTATATTCACGTTCATGTCCAAAAATTGAGAAATGTCTAAAATACAAAAATATGAAGCGGGCACCAGGCAGTTGAAAACCCAGCTGAAAGTCACTGAAGCGTGGCGGTGTGTTGTACGGACCACCAACCCTGATCATCAGTCTATCACACTTTGTTGAAAGCATTGGTACAGTCTGCTCCTGTTCTGACATGCTTTGCTACTCTGATGTGAATGGACCTGGGCCATTTCTCCCTGCAACTCTGCTATCTGATTGCTTTATACTTGTGAGCCACGGAGCGGTTGTATAAAACACAGTGAGTGGAAGCAGCAGAAAGTCTCACTTTTCTGAACACAAACATTTTGTGCTTTACTCTTTTGTTTTACTTTAGTAAAGCATCTGTCAGAAGGTTGTTTTCAGTGTCAAAAGGTGTTAGTGGCCTGTCGAAAAGGCCACTATAACTTGGTCTTTTCTTCCCTGTTGTACTACATTATAATCTGTCAGTGAAGATCCGTTTCAGAAGGCCTGGCTGTGTAATGGCTAGTTTTTGTTTTGTTTTGGATTTTTGTTTCTTAATTGTGCTTTTAGATTACTCACCTTCTTTGAGCAAGAATGGAAATGGTTTTTGTAATTTATTGTTTGTTTTCTGGCTCTAAAATGCTCCTTTAAGGCATTTAGGGAGGAGTCCTGGAAAAAGAAAACAACTTCCTATTGTTTATCAATTACCTTAATATTGACTGACTTCAGGCATCTTCCTTCACTGGAGGTGAAAGGAGTGAAGCAGCTCAGCATTGACCATTGTTTTTTTTTTTGTTTGTGTTTTTTTTAATGTTTTGTTTTTAAAGGTGCTTAATTGAGAAAACCAAAATTAACGCTTCGTTTAACACGCTATAGTCACATGTCAGGACTGATCTGATTTGAAATAAGAATATAAATATGGATGAATAAATATGAGAAAAATAAATGTGAATAAAGCAGTGGTTGGATCATGGTTTTTTATATTCATGTGGATCTCTCCACTGATCAAACCCATCTAAATTTTATTAAACACATATTTTGTTATGGCTTAAAGCGCCATCAATATTTATAATCTTTATGTGCATATGCTAGTCTGTAATTACGGCATTGAGCTCAGATAAAGTAGGTTTGGATTCAGGCAGTGGCTTTGTGTATGGCTGGTTCAACAGTGCCGGGGCGTCTGTGTTTTGTCTTCCTAACTGCATCTGAGCTGTTGAGAGCAGGGCGAGTGGCTAATGAATGACCTGTCAGAGGTAATGAGGTCCAGAGTGCTGGATGCCTCATGACTTCCTCCTCGCAGCTCCTCTGAATCAGTGGCAAACCGGAGAAAGCTTCCTCGCTGTTATCAAGCAAATGGACTGAAAAACAGACCCACTTTCGCAAGCAGATTTGGAGAAAAGAGGCAGACTTCGGATCTTTGACATTTATGATCCCTGAGTCGCCTTCCCCCCCACCCCCTCTCTACTGTTGTCAGAACTTGTACTCTGCTCAGCTGTTCAGATTTCCCGTTTCACTGATTTCCCAACAATCCTTGCTCTGCCCGTGCCTCACATTCTTCTCCGAGCCGCTTTCATTGTGAAACTTTGTCTCGTCTAGCTGCGACTCCGAGCAACTGCACCTCCTGTCTCCACCCAGCCCCAGCGCTCTGCACCTGGAATGTAAATATGGGAAAGGTGCGGTTGCGTACACCTGCTTTTAGGCTTCCTCGTTTGCAATTCAGAGGATGCATAGCTCTCAGGAAGCTATTAATTGTGGAGTGTGTTGTCAGACCAGTCACTGTAAGAACTGACTCAGCCCATCTGTGATGAAATAATACAGCATGTAGGCTGTTGCGCCAGATATTTTTATGCGTTTCTACTTGGAGCAGAGTGAAACTACGCTGTCTGTTTTAATGTGTACAAATCAAACACTCATTACTCCTTTCCGAAAAAGTAAAAAATTCCTTTCCAGTGAGGGAGCTCTCCTGCATATTGTAAAAGTAAATGAAGTTTCTCTACATTTCTCGAGATATGAGATTTATTTAGAATTGATGCAAAGATTTAAATCTCGGCTTTAAAATCTAAAGTGTTTAGATGAATAAATGACTAACATGGCTAACATGTGGTGCTAAATGCTGCTCAACATTTTCTGGAGTTAAATCACATGATTCTATTAAGAAAAAATGTACAACGTTCTGACGATACTCAAACTAGACGTCATGGACAAGGTTATCACGTTTAGTTAATATAGGTATTAAGGTATTCTTAATACCTATATGTTTTTAAGATCTCGGTACATCACCTGCATAGGTCCTTTGGCTTGGCCCTTCAAAGCTTTTTTTTCGATGAGGTCTGGAGAAAAGCAAGTTGAAGTCGACTTAAGTTTACATTCAAGAAAGCCTGGCCCGGCTACACACCTAATCACCTCTTTCAGGTCCATATAAAAAGTTCATATGTAAATATAAACACTGTTCAAAGTCATTTCAGTTCCTTTTTTTTTTTGCTTTACTTGCAGAAAAAGAGCAGAGAAGAGAGCTGCGGTGAAGGAAGTGGGGTGGAGATCCTTGAGAATAAGCCCTACACCGATGGACCAGGTGGGGTGGGTCAGTATACCCATAAGGTCTACCACATAGGCATGCACATTCCTGGCTGGTTCCGCTCCATCCTGCCCAAAGCTGCTCTGAGGGTTGAAGAGGAGTCCTGGAATGCCTACCCTTACACCCGAACAAGGTACGCGCGCTTTCTCAACCATAGATTCATGAGAGTGATGCCCCAAGTTATAAAAATACATGTTAATACCAAATCCGTCTTTCTGAAGGGAGAATATAAACCTCTGATCAGGCTGTCAGAATATTATCAAGCATGTTGTAAGAGCATCAGATTGCAGTTGGCCTTTTTAGCTGATGATGACCTCTCATCCTCTGGGCGTCGTCACTCCATTTATCTGTTTGATAAACCGATATGTGAAGGTGCTGATGTGAGGTTGACCCAAGACTGTGCTGTGGTCCTTTTTGACTTATCTGTTTAACCAGCCACAGTTTTACTGCAGAGGCCTCAGACACAACAGAACATCAGAACCGCCTCGTTCACACTGAGGATGTGTTGTCACTCTTTGACTAATCCTGAGCCATTCAGCACTACATGAATGAGTCCACGTATGTAATGATGCATTTTGTCACGTGATGTCTTCCAGATACACCTGTCCATTTGTTGAGAAGTTCTCCATCGACATTGAGACTTACTATAAGCCTGACACAGGCAACCAAGCTGATGTCTTTAACTTATCTGCAGCAGACAAGAGGCAAACAACTATCGGTGAGAACCTTTTTATGATGTAGAAGCTTAACGTTTATCTGCTGTATTTTCACTGACATGTCAATAACACAATGCTGTCCTGTACAGCTGAAACTTAGTTAATGTTATTTCAATATTTTATCCCAAAAAAGAGACTCATGTAGCTTCATTACATATGAGAATACAGGTTTTCCCCCAGAAACCTGGTTAAGCCCGGTGGTCGGGGTGTCGAGGCGGTCCACCGGCGGTGCACCGTGTTTTTGTATTAAAAGATGTCAAGGTGACAGGAAATTTGAAAATATCACTTGATAATTATACGTTACGGGAAAACATCGCCAGTGAAACACTACTTAAACCCACAACTAGTCTTAAAGACAACAAATCACAATATAAAATTAAAATGAATATCAATTATTTGCACTTTTGTTTAATCCAAATTAAGTCAGCAGCTCCATCAGGCCCCCAGGGCTTCAGGGACCTCATAAACGCTAATATTTTAACACAGACAACAGATACATGAATGTAACACTTGTTTATTGAGATGATCAATGCTGCTAAATTTGATTAAATTTCAGCATACATAAATTGAAAGATTTGAAATTGTTTAACATTTAAATGTAAGATTTTAAGTAGCTGGCAAGTTTACTTTGTAAAAGTTCAAAGAACAATATTCATAGTTAGATTGTTTTGTTACCCTAGTTACAATCTGATGCTGTGAATTTAATCTTTAAGTTTGAGCTCTGTTTGTTCACAAATACAATTTAGTAAACTGCAATTATAACTGATTGCTTTTTAGGTTGGCCAGTTAAACTACTCCCCCTCTCTCAGATTAAATCCAACACATCTGTTAGAGGTGCTGATGTTTTCAGCAACAAAAGGGGCCCCTAAATCAAATTCTGCTCCAGGCCTCATACAGCCTTGGACCGGCCCTGCATGATGAGGTAATCTGCTGCACTACACAGAGATGCGCAACAAACAGGAGATTTAATTCAATGCTGCTAATGTGGCTTTAGTAGCTCTAACATTTCGTGTCTGTTGAGTTTTTAATAAGCGTCACAGAAACTGTTTTGGTTGCTCAAGTTTGTGGGATGAGTTTTTCAGATCTCCGCATGGCCGCAT